TCCCTAGCCTGTATATTTATTTTTTGGGTAGTAGTAAATGGACTGWACTTATATAGCACCTTTCTATCCAGCCAGGATATTCAAAGCACTTTACACTACAATCTGTGCCCTTATTTTCCCATTCACACAGCACTCTGCTAGGTCTCTCTACAAAGCTAATACAGGTAAAACAATCTATAGAGACTAATCAGTGCTTTAAATCACACTCATAACTGATGACACACAAATCAGAGGCAGTGGGGGTTCAGTGTCTTGCCCGGGGACACTTCGACATTTGACTGAATAGTGCGGAATCGAACTGCCAACTCTCGCATTAGAGGAATGACTGCCCTAACCACCATGGGAGCTTATAAAACAACTCTTTTTCAAAAACCARTGTGAAAGARTGCTACATTAGTTTACATTAAACTTCAACATTTGTTTGCAACACCAATCTGTTAAGTTCAACTGAGACATGCCCACCTTAMTACACCAGTCCAACAGAGCAAAATGTGTCTGGCCCAGTTCTGGCCCAGACAATGCACTTAATACACTAAAATAAATTGGCCCATGTACCACAAAGAATGATGGTCTTTTGGAGGTCCACATGTGGTTTGCCAGAGTTGGTCCATGCATGGGCCACATAAAGCAAAACACAACTGGGCCAGATGTGGCCTGCTGTCTTCAAACAGTGTAATCATTTCCAGACCTGGCCCCTTTATAAATAGAGGGACCACCACCCCGGTCTTTAAAGGACAAAATAAATAAATAAATAAATAAAAATAAAAAAGGGAAAAGTAAAGGAAAAGAAAATTGCAGAGACATTTATTACATTTTTTTATGTGAGCAGCTTTGCTCAGACTTAAGCCATTGCTTTTGGGCTCTATTAAAATGTTAATGTCCGTCTGTAGTTTTAGGGCAGCGGAAAGAGAGTTCCAGAGTCTGGGAGYCTTAAAGGAGAAACAAGACTGTCCAAAAAGTGTTTTAAATTTTGGGACTATACATTCCCCACAGACAGAGGTTCAGGTGGAAGGTCTGCGAGCATTATGACATCTGATGACCTGTCTTTCTATTTTCAGCCCGTGAACCTTATCACAGATGTTGTTTGGTTGAGAAAACAAATCAGTATTATGTGAAAGTGTTAAGGTTTAATATTAGCTAATGTAGAATGGTTTCATATTGTTTTATAGGCCTGACAATGGACACTCATTTTGCTAGCCTCTAGCCTAGCCTGAATGAAGACCTTTCTCTCTTATTCCATACTCTGTGCTCAATGACTGATGTCATAAAGTAATTACCAGAACATCTTCTCAAAAAAGACTAGACTATCTCTTTAACAGCAACATGAACTCCAAACTCGTTGGCCTCTCATGCCGATCATTGAGCCTCGTGAGGATTTCTCTTTTCATTAAAGTCACTCCAGCAGGCAGGCAGGCAGGCAGGCAGGCAGGCAGGAAGGAGCGCCATAAAGAGTTAGTGTTTGTAAAGGAAGAGGAGTCGGAGTGTGCTGGTTAGCTGAACGAGGAGGCTGAAGTCATTGTTCAGTCAGTTGCTGTCTGCAGGAGGCCAACGTTCATTCTCCATGACTCACGGCCTCAAGGAGCTCACATCCTCTGCTGCGTGAGCCCAGCTGACACACACACACACACACACACACACACACACACACACACACAC